TGTTCATATTTAATGGGGACACTGTAAATGGCAAAAACAGAGGTTGCATAATCACATCTACTTGTTTGAAATGTGCCTTTGTGAGGATCCTTCAGGCTATTTATTCTGAGCTAGGAGCACATGCTTTGTATCATAGTGTGGGTATTCTACTCTTTTTGCTAGTCGCTATATAGATGTCTATAATTTAGATATCTATAAAGCATATATTTTCCAGATACACGTATGTGTTCATTTTTAAAAATAAGGTATATTAACCAGATTTAAGATAAAAGCATCATGCAGATGCCGGTTCTTCCACATTCACCATGAGCATGAATATTATTTTCAAGCTTTCATTAAATTAGATGTTATAATGGAGCCAGAGTCTGCAAGCACAGTTACGGTGTTGGAGTTCATAGACAAACATGAAGCTAAACTGCCCAACAAAGGCAAAGTCCAGCAACTACAGGAGTCAGGCTGAAGCTGAAATTTGCTAGACTAGCTACTTTACCAAGAGATTTCTGTTTTTTAATTCTCAATAATGAATGTATTTGGCTGACAGGAAAACAGTGCACTTTTCTACTCTTCGCTCAGATTTAAAGAAAAAACTTTTGTTTACATCCTGTATGCTTGTTTGCGAGCCTGCACACTTTTCCTTGGGATTGCATAAACAGCACACCACTAGGTTTTTGGTTATGAAATACATAAACAGTTAATGATAATGACAGATAATCGGTATCAGTAAAACTACAATTATCTTAATTCTTTTGGAATTGTAAAAGAAACTCACAAAACTAGAAACGTACAGATACTGTAGATGGTGTGGACCCTGAAAGATTCCATGAAAAAAACCTTCTTGGTGTGATGATTGATTATACACTAGTACACAGAGAAACACACGGCCATGAATGAAGGAGAACGCGACACTGAACTGAGGGAGACGTGGACATAAATACACAGAGGGTTAACGAGGGAGGAGCACACGTGGGAACACAGGTGACACTGATAATCATAACGAGACACGGCATGAGTAAACACTGACGGGAGACTGTCAAAGTAAAACAGGAAGTACACAGAGGTGCAGACAGGAGGAGAGAGAGAGAGCACGGGGAGAGCACAGACATAACGGGCTGGGGAAAACATGGAATAAAACACAAGGAGTGCAGACGAGGGCTCACAGATAATAATAATAATAATAATGGATTGGATTGGATTTATATAGCGCTTTTCAAGGCACCCAAAGCACTTTACAATGCCACTATTCATTCACACTTGCATTCA